TTACCGTTACATACACCGTAAGAAGAAAGCTTATGGAGAAGACCAGCATGTCAAACTTTATCAAACGCTTTAGAAATGTCAAGAGCGATGGCCTTAACCTCTCCACCTTTATCTAAAGCGCGATGAAACCTATCGGTTATTACTGATATCAAATCAGCCGTAGAACGAGAAGATTGAAATCCATATTGATGATCAGAAAGTAGGTTATGAGGTTCGAGATGAGAGATTAAGTGTTTGTTAATTAAAGATTCAAAAACCTTGCTTATGATAGGAAGAAGACTAATGGGACAGTAGTTAGACGAATTGGATTGCTCTCCAGAATTTTTAAAAATAGGGATAACAGATGCTGCTTTCCAGCAGGCTGGAAAACAAGACTCTGATAAGCACTTGTTAAATAGTTTTGAAAGGATAGACGACAGCTCCGGAGAACACTTCTGCAAGACTATAACAGATATGTTGTCCAGGCTGCAAGCTGTAGAAGAGTCTAAGCGGGAAATCACTTTAGATACAAAAACTGGAGTGATACGAATGTCAAGCTGTGGATCAACCTGTTTGATGGCTATATCAGGTAGAACGCAACTAGTGGCATCAAGAGATAATATTAATGAAACGTTCTTGGCAAACAATTCAGCTTTGTCTTTAGGTGAGGTGACAAAGTCTGAACCATAAAAAAGAGGTGGAATTACAGACTTGCCCTTATTATTGATACTATTAAAGATTCTCCAGAAGTCACAAGAGTCTAATTTTTGTGTTGAAATACGAGATTTCATGATCTGAGAATAGACAAAACCTTTTTACAATGGTTCCTAGCAGTAATAAACAGACGTCTGTTTTCTGGAGAATTGTTTTGCTGATAGATATGGAAGTAATGGTTTCGATTGTCAATTGCAGCAGCACAATGTGAGGAAAACCATGGAGAAGAGTGAGGCTTGACGTGGAATCATTGAGAGGGAATAAAGGATTCCATGCCAGCCTGAATCCACGAAGTTATGTAAGAAGCACATTTGTCAACATTCAGACTTCATTCTGTTTTACTTAAATTTAGTTTTGTAAAAGCTTAGATTATTTACACTGCTAAAACACAGAATATATTTTAATTCATGTTTTTTTTTGATATAAACAATTACATTAAGTCAACTTTTATATAAGAGTTGACTTTATATAATGTAGTGGCATTTACTGAATGGTCACAAGAGTTTTGATGAGAATACTGAGTTATTCTTAGTGTAAGTAATCATTCATATTGTGCCTTATAGTCTCAGTATTTGTATTTATAGTCTTAGTATTTATATTTGTAATCTCAGTATTTATATTTGTAGTCTCAGTATTTATATTTATAGTCTCAGTATTTATATTTATAGCCTCAGTATTTATATTGATGTTTTTAGCAATTATTTAATTTAAAAATTAGAAAAATTTAATATGAGATAAACATTTAAACACTTTTTTAAATGATACAGTTGTGCCCAACTAGAATAAGTACTCTCAAGGAGTACCAGTCTAGGATGGTGGTTGTGAATCTTCTTACATATGTACTGTACTATAAGACATTATATATGGGCAATACATAAACCTTTTATAAAACAATACTACTTCACTTCAAATACATTTTTTACTTTGTTACATTATACATATAAAGTTGTTAAACACTTAAAAAAGGAAAAACAATACATATAATACTTTGTTACATTAGACATATAAAGTTGTTAAACACTAAAAAAAGGAAAAACAATACATATAATACTTTGTTACATTATATATATAAAGTTGTTAAACACATAAAAAAGGAAAAACAATACATATAAGACTTTGTTACATTATACATATAAAGTTGTTAGGCACTTAAAAAAAGAAAAACTATTCATATAATACTTTATTACATTATACATTTAAATTTGTTAAACACTTAAAAAAGGGAAAACAATACATATAATACTTTGTTACATTAGACATATAAAGTTGTTAAACACTAAAAAAAGGAAAAACAATACATATAATACTTTGTTACATTATACATATAAAGTTGTTAAACACTCAAAAAAGGAAAAACAATACATATAATACTTTGTTACATTAGACATATAAAGTTGTTAAACACTAAAAAAAGGAAAAACAATACATATAATAATTTGTTACATTATACATATAAAGTTGTTAAACACTTAAAAAAGGAAAAACAATATATATAATACTTTGTTACATTATACATATAAAGTTGTTAGGCAATTAAAAAAGGAAAAACAATACATATAATACTTTATTACATTATACATATAAAGTTGTTAAACACTTAAAAAAGGAAAAACAATATATATAATACTTTGTTACATTATACATATAAAGTTGTTAAACACTTAAAAAAGGAAAAACAATACATATAATTCTTTGTTACATTAGACATATAAAGTTGTTAAACACTAAAAAAAGGAAAAACAATACATATAATACTGTTATATTATACATATAAAGTTGTAAGACACTTAAAAAAGGAAGAGCAATACAAAATATTTATTTTTGTAGCACTGTATATACACACTACACTGTATATACACACTACAGCATTTTAACTATGAGAAAAAAGTTAAGGTTAAAGAATTTTTTAAATTAACTTTGCAAAAGAAACTTTTTGAAAATAGAAAAATCATAGAAGCATAATAAGATAAAAATATATGAGCAAAGTCAAATGGTAGTACAAATAGAAAGATGTCTTAAGATATAAGGATATAATAGTTCAGTAAATTCTTTTATAAATATAGGATCAGAAGATAAAGAAAGCATATCTTTATGTATAAAATCAGAAATAAAAGGAAGCATAAATTTATATATAAAATAAGAAGATAAAGGTAATTTACCACCAGCATGCTGGTGGTAAATTACGATTTAGACAGTGTTATTCATATATATGCTATAACATACTTGCTAAACATGGAAAGATCATATTCACATATAATTCTAAAACAAGATGACTTGTTTAAAATTAGTTCATATACTCAGCAATGAACTTAAAAGCAACAAATGTCCACTTAGTTTTTAAAAGTAACACTTAAAAGCAATGCAATATCCAACACTTAAAAGCAATATTCATTCATTGAACTTTCAACACACTTTACACGTTTATAAAGATACAGATTACAATTTAAAGATTTTTTATGATAATAAAGCATTAACTTTTACCAAAACTCCACAAATATATCTAATAAATTTTTGCCAAAGCTTTACAAATTATTTAATAAAGTTTTGCCAAAGCTCCACAAATATATCTAATTAATTTTTGCTAAAGCTCCAAGAATACATCTAATAAACTTTCCAATTACTTTGTCATTAAAAAGGTATAACAATGAAACAAATTGATTGATTAAATCAATGTTTCATTGGAAATGGTAAATCAATGTTTATTTAGAAATGTTTTCAAATGAATTTTCAAATAATTTAAGTTGTCATTAAGGAAACTTTCAAAATATTTCAAATAATCTAAGAAACTTTCAAATAATTTAAGAAACTTTCAAATAATTTAAGCTGTCATTTAGTCATCATATTTAATTCTAGTTACTCTCCTTTTACTTATAAACATTTTATTAAAAACATATGTTTTTATAACAAACATAGGTTTTATTTATAAACATAGATTTTATTTATAAACATATTTTTTATTACAAACATAGGTTTTATTAATAAACATAGATTTTATTTATAAACATATTTTTTATTATAAACATAGGTTTATTTATAAACATAGGTTTTTATTACAAACATAGGTTTTTATTACAAACATAAAATATTTGCAAAAAAATTGAATATTTTTATATTTGTAATGTTTAAATATATTTAGAAAAGGCTTGAATATATATTTTGGGCATATATAATTCAATTTATTTATTTTTATCAAATATACATAAAAAAAAAGTTTGATAACTTTTTTATCTTTAATTTAAAAAAAAGCAAAGATATAAAAATTCAAATAAAAAAAATTATAATCAAAAACACCAAGTATATTAATCAACAATCAAAAAATTAAGATAAATTTTTTTCCATTAAAAATCTGAGACTGCCTTACTTTTTCGATTCCATTAAATGCTAAGGATTCATCTCTTTCTTATCTCTACATCTCTTTATATGCCAATTTCTTAATCTTGATTCTATTCTTTGTCTCAATAAATCTCTAATATGCCCTTGTATAGAATACTGTTACCATACCTGGAGCAGATCTTCAAATGATGCCCTCTCTTTTAGACAAGGTGCAAAAACATATTGAAAATATACTTTGGACCTGCTTTTGTAGCCAACCCTTAACTATTGTCACATCGTCGTAATGTTGCTTCTCTTTCTTTTTTCATACAAATTCTATAATGGATACTGCTTGCATCTCTTGTGCTATCTGCTAATATTCTTGTGTTACTCGTCATTCAATTAAGTCTCATCCTTCTACTATGACAGTTCATGAGTGCTACATCAATTCTTTTCAATCAATCAATCTTTTTTTTTCCCTCAAACATCAGTGCTTATGAATTGGCTCCCTTCATTTTGTTTTCCTAATCTATTTAACCTGCAACCTTTTAAGTTGCTTGATAATTGTTATTTTGCTTTATAAACTTCAACTTTACTCTTCCAGTAACTTTAAATTCTAATAGTGGTTGCTTGAAGCCTTGTTGAAAGTGAATTTGTTTTTTTTTTATAAAAAAAAATATATATATATTTTTCTGCAAAAATGTTGTAGGAAAATAAAATATTGAAAAATTTTATTTTTTAATTATTTTTTTTCCTACAACATTTTTACATAAAATGAAAAGTTCGCAGAATGCATACAAAACTTAGCTTTGAAAATAGAATCAGAGACTTCTTTTTTTCAAAACTGAACTAATAATAAAAGAACAAGATTCCCAAACCTTTCAGGAATCCTCAAAATGTTTGTAATTGTAAATTATTAAATTAGTAAATTTTTCATACTAAAAACAATTAGCAACATCCAAAATAAAGAAAAATTTTTTTAAAAAAAAACCAACCTTTATTTACAGTTTTAACAGCATTTTTAACTTCTGGTATGGTGAATAAATTTTTGTCTGTACTAGAAATAACAAGTGCTGAAAAAATAAATTTACAACATATCACTTTTACATTTAAAGGATAATAAATAAAGGAAAAAAATTAAAAAATTACGCTGTACAACTAAAAAAAGCTAATGAAAGTCATTATCTGTTTTACTAGTAGAATGTGCTGATTTCAAAACTGAAGTTTTTTATCTCCACCAATGCCACTTTTATCTCCATCAGTGCCACTTTTATGTAAAATTGTTTTTGGATTTTTGAGAATTTTTAGAGAATTTTATTTAGAAAAATTTTTTTTTTAAATATTTTTCTACTATAGTACACTTCACAGTATTCAATTAATAGCACTAGAAGTGTTTGCTGCAAGATTTCTGCTTGTATAGGCAGGTTAGAGGCATTGCAATGTAACATCCAGAAAAAGTCTGCTAGCATTACAGGTGACCATTTTTTTTTTTTTTTTCCATTCTCTTTTTCATAACAGCTACATCCTAGTGATATTGCTCATCATGCTTATCACTTACACAACCCATTTTGTCAGGGAAAATGTCAGTGTGAAACATCAGAAAATGGAGCATCAGGGACATTTGTAACCCTTAGCTTTATATGGTTGAAGCAGTAGTTGAATGAGATCCATGTAGTTGAGAGAACAATGGTTGCCAAAGAATTCATTGCTTATAGTTCAGAATACTTTCTAAGCTGTCAGATGAAACTCATCAAGAGTCAGCTCGAAATGATCATATTCTAGGAGTAGTCTTATGTCAGATAAAAAAATCCCCACATTAATCTTGGCCTCACTCAATGTAAGAAATTTCTTAACCAGATATTTGAAGGCAGCAATTTTAATTATCAAGAACCTTCACCAGTTAGAGTAGAGGTTACAATATTATATTTTTACTTCTAACTAAAAGAAGATTGTTGGCGTTGCTGGTATCAGGAACATGGTGCATTGGCCAACTAATCCTAGTTGAAATGGTAATGACCTTGACAGTAGAACAGATAACCAATTTACAAGAATAAATAACAGGAACAGATAAATATACATTGAGATTGTGAGGAAGAACAGCATTTATGCTGGATTTGGATGCATCAATGAAGAGGCACCAGTTTTGTGTGTTGTTGTCAATACCAAACTTATTAAACAGAATTTTTAAGCAAGAAATTACAATAACACCAATCTTCATTCATAGAAAATAACAAAAATAACATAACTATGATTTTTACTGCATCTACAATGTGTAACAAAGAATGCTTTGATTTAAAAATTCTACTATCTCATTATGGCTTCAAAAAGCCATAATGAGATAGCAGAATAAAATTACCTGAGAACAACAATAAACTATGTGTAAAAAAGCAGTTAGGTGAATCAATTGATGTGTATACACAGAATTACATTACAATATTCACACAGACGCAGCATACAAAGAAAATCTCAATTTTTTTAAAAAGTGATGCGTGATGGACATACACTGATTTTAAATTTGAAATCATCAAATTAGTCAAAAAAAAACAAAAGGTATTTGCATACAATCAAATTAGTATAACAAAGGTATTTGCTTTCATGAACTTTTATAAATATTAATGTTTGTTGTAAGCGTTATTTAAAAAAAAATATTACCCACAAAATATTGTATAATTTACTAAAGTAACCATGAGAAATATTTGCTTAAGTGACCTTGATAATTTTAGTTACTACATCAAATATTAAAGCTACATTGTGGAATATAGTTTACCATTTGTTAAATTATTTTAACAGATTTTTTAAACTATTTTTACCAATTTGTCAAATAAAAAAACAATTTACAATATTTCTTTAAGTTATATTGTCAAGTGATGATACTTAATCAGTTATTTAGATAAAAATAAATAATGAAATAAGAAATGAAAAAGAGTTGACAATATATTCATTATTAATTCAGATTGGAATATATTTATGTTAATTTAAAATATGCATTACAAAAAACACATTTATTATGTATAATGATCACTTTCTAATATGTATTACATGCTTAATATACAATTTAGAAATCATTAATTATGCAGGAAATTTTATATAAAAAATTTCTCCACTTAATCTGACTTTATTCAAAATAAAAACTATAAAAAAAACTAATACAAATAATACACAAAAAAGTATATATGGGCAATTCTGCGAAAGTGGCGGTTGTAACATTTGACAATTTTTTTATTATTAATAAAAAAAGTTATTGAAAATAAACCGAAAACGGAAATGATTTGAAACTTTCATGAAATGTGAAATACTATCATATAATCTAGTATGTAAAAGTTACAGCATTAAAGCCTTCAACTTTCAAAAATGAACTCTAAGTAGCGTGACGGTTGTAACGCTTACTTTTTACCACTTCTAAACAAAACAGTTTGTCAGACTTGCAGCGAACAGCATGCAGCAATACAGCAATGCAGCGAGCAGCGAACAACATGCAGCGATACAACAATGCAGCAAACAGCATGGTAAATAAAAAAATGTTTAGTGTGTGTATTTAGCACATAATAATGTTACTATATGCTAAGTTTCATAGTTTTTACTTGAAGTTTTACAAGCATTTTTATGTTTTTTTTGTTGTGACGTAACCGTAAGAGTCGTAACAAAAAATCCAATGCTTTAAAACAACAAATAAAACAAAACAATTAATGATGTAAGAAAAAAAGTATTATTGATTATTAACAACTATGAATATTATGTTAAAGAAATGCAATATAAAATTATCAAAGTATTCACTTATGAATGTACGGTATGATTTTTAACACTACACAACAGGACTGTAAAGTTTATACAACCCTTTCAACTTTAAAACCATGCAATGGTATGATAAAAAAAATTTTTTAAATAGTAATAACCAATAATTTTTGTTTTTAAAAAGTTAGTTTTTTGCTTTTTTTTTTTTTTTTAGAATTGCCCATATATACAAATAGAAACAAATTTCAAAATAAATTTACCGATGTTAAGGTTGACCATCCAATTAGTACCCATGATAGTTTTGTTAAACAAATTTTCAAAAATACTGTCAATTCTAATATCTTTCATAAAAATTGCCAAACCCATTTGTTTTTCACTCATCATTCTTTTGCTTGCATCCTCTGATTTTTTTTTTAGGCTTGATACACTCTGTGTTACTGGTTCACTGTCAATATCAAAACCTTTTTGTACTGAGCTTTCCACTCCATCTGTTGTGTCATCATAATCTGTTTCTTCATCATATTCTGTTTCTTTTGATGATATTTTATTTCTTTTAGCTAAATGTTGAATTACTTTAAACTTATATTTATACATAAAAAAGGTGTTTTTTTCAGGCTGTGAAAATAAATACAAAATAACTGACCTATTTTTATTTTAAAAAAATACGGATTTATTTCATATTTATTGCTTTGATTGTTGAACTGAGAAATTGTATTTTCTGAAAACTTTGAAAGCTGATCAGGTGGAACCTGTTTACTTAGCATGTACGCTTCAAATTTCATTCCTTCCCAGTTAAATAAAATAGGAACGCCAACTAATCTGTGCATTTTATAAATAAAATATAATGCTAACTAACAAATATTTTTACAAATTTGATAAATACTGTTTTTTCATTTTTTGTTATTCTATAATAAATATCATTAATATTTCAGTAATAGAAAAAAATTGCAAAGGTAATTGCAATGAAATTACCTAACTTCTTGCGAAACTCCTTGTCCAAACTCAGCAGTTAATTGAAGATCTTTTATTCCAAAATTAAAATTGGACATTTTTGATTTTAAATTGTCATCTAATTCTTTGGAACCAAAAGCATTAATGAGTTCAGTAGATGTAAGCAATGCAACAGAGCCTAAATTAGAAACAAATTTGTGAATAATAGTATAATGAATCGAAATAACAAAATGTAACTGAAAATGAGTTTAGTAGATGTCATCAAAAAGATTGTAAAAGAAAACAACTAATCTGCATGGTAACAGTCACTTTGAATTTCAGTTTTTAAAAGTGTTAAATAACTCACTATTATTTTATTTAATTATTAATAAAGCTTTATTACATTCAGATTTATGACATTTTTTATGCATAGCTCAATACTTTAGATTATGCATAGTTATATACTCTAGATTGACTGAACGTTTTAGAAAATGAAGTACTAAGTGTACAAAGATTTATTAGTCAATAATGATATGAACACATTTATATACATTGTTTTACACATTTGTACACATTTATACACATTGTTTTTATCTGAAATATTTTACAGTATAAAGAAAATGATTTTTTTAATAGCAATTACAGCCCTCAATTCTATAACTCTGAGTCACAAACCTTTACAAACAAAGTTTAGCGCAGTATTACCAGGGACATGGTGAGGATTGAACTCGAAGTCTCTCACTTATGAAGCAAGCAATCTATAACTACGTCACTGTATTAAATAATTAATAAGTATCTAATAAACACATTTTTTAACAACTGCACCACTGTCGTTTATGTTATGTATTTATGAATGATATATCAAATTATAGTTTTTTTCTCATTTGTGTTTATATTTAAGGTTTTATGTTTTTAGTTTAGTTTTTAAACAGTTTTCAAAAAAAAAATTGTTTTTATTCAAAATAAAAATATACCTTTTAACTCAAATTTTTCATCTTTTTTCTCAACTTCTATTTTAATTGAGGAGCCAGCAAGTTGTAGCTCAGCCTTAAGTAAGAAGCGAAACTTGGCATTCTCATCTAGTTTAAGTTCAAATTCTGCATTTTTAACAGATATGAAAGTATTGCCAAGAGTAATCTAATAAAACAAACATTACAACTATTGTGTTTGTTGTTGTTTTTGTAGTTGTTTCAAAATGCATTTGCAGAAAACTTGAATAAAATAATATCATAAATATAATTTGATTTTCAGTTAATACCATATACATAAACATACCTCACATAAGTAAACATACCTCATCAGGAATTGATATAGAAATTTCAACTACTTTTGTTTTTATGTTTACATCATACTTTTTAAAAAGAATCTTAAATTTTGACTTGAATAAATATTTATTTAGAAGATCAAAAGCATTTGGTGCTAGTGCAGCTAAAATATTCATTCCATCTTCAAAAATGTCTGGAGGAAAAACAAATGAAATTTTCTCGCTCTTGATAATGATTTGAAATGATAACTCTTTAGGTATATTGTTTAGATTAGCAGTAGAACCTATGTTCTTTAAAATTTTGTTTATAGGAATGTTAAGACTAATAATAGTACCTTCTGAAAGAGTTGCAGAATGGCTTGGAATTGAAGCTGATAAAAGTTCTTTAATTTCAGTATCTTTCAACTTTAATATATCTATGTTTGCATATTCAATTGATATATCTAAAAGGAGATCTTTTAAAATGTCTATGTCATTTAAATCTTTGCCAATAATTGCAGAAATAACCTTTAAAGGCTGAACATTTTTGAGAGAAGCGACAATACCAACTCCAACAGGACCATCTGTTGGCTTCTGAATAACCAACAATGCATTGATATCTCCTAGGCCAGTTATTCCAGTAGCTTTACCATTTATTATAATTTCATAGCTTCCATCTTCACTTCTCATAATTTTAATTACTGGTTTTTCAATAAATATCTTAGAGAACATTCCTCCATCATTGACAATAACTTCACCATTACCATCTTCAATCCCAGCTATTACTTCAGATACTGCCTCCTGTTTAGTTTTTAAAAAGAACTTTGAAAAATCAGTAACTTTAATTTCTTCTGCAAATATTTTTATAGATGATGAAGAGCTTTTTTTATCCTTTTGTACTTGAACTGATACAATGAGACCAGCAATTTCAACTTTACCTTTTATGTCAAATTCAATATTAGTAAAAGCAAACTCATTTTGTAACTCCATATAATTAAATTTCAAGTTAAGTTCACCACTAACTATCTAAAAAAAAAGTAAACCATTAAACCATAGGCACAGTGGAACCAGAGGTGTAAATAGAAAAAAAAAATTGGTTTGAAAAAGTCTATAAAAATTATTTATTCAGAAAGTCAGATAAATTTGTGGATGAAAAAAAATTAGGTTTCTAGCTAATTTCTAAGTGATAATATGCAATTTTGAAGTTGATGAACTTCCAATTTTTTTTTTGTACCTATTAAAGTTTAGTAAGTTTTGATTAGTTTTCTTTCAAAATAAATTTACTAACTTAAAAATTGATAACCCACAAAAATAAAATTTGTTTTTAATTTGACATGGAATATATTTTTGAACAAATATATAAAAAAATTTGTTTATTTTTTCAACTTATTTTTTAAGCTTTTAAAACTTTATTATGTAATTATGTTATAAATTTATGTTGTTGTTTTTTACAGAAAATCAGATTAAATCTTAGATTTTTTCAAAAGTACTAACTTGCCTCTACTCCGTCATACATTTTTAAAGTATTAAACATTTCTTCTTCTCAAATATTTTAAGGGGAACTGAGGCAAGTTAGTACTTTTTTTTATTTAAAAAAAAGTACTAACTTGCCTCAGTTAAATTTATTAAAGCTGACAAAACTGTCAGCTTTAATAAATTGTCAAATTGTCAAATTCAGTAACATATTCAGCTATTAAAGAAATACTTTATAAATATTTTGAACTATTAATTAATTCACTGGAGTTTGAAATTGTGTGTGAAAAAACATGGAAACGTTATAAATGCCTAAAAGAGAAACATTTCAAGAAAAATGGAAATGTATTTATACTTTCACAAGCATCAAAAGATATTATTTATGAAGTAAAGGATGCTTACATAACAGAACCATGTTTTTCAAAACAAAGAAAATCTTTTTTTTTTTTTTTTTTTTTTTTTTTTTTTTTTTTTACAGAACTGAGTGATAAGATGAAAAAGAAGAGGACACAGGAATTTTTCAATTTTATAAATTACTTTATCACTAATGAGTGCCCAGAGTTTCATGTTAACCAGTTATTGGTTTTTACCAGATGTGTTTTAAATATGGTTGTGATGGAATAGGGCAACAAGAATCAATAAAATCAAAAGAAATGATTGAAATAAAGTCAAATATGTTTCAATAAGGTCTTTTTCCTTTGAAACTGGTATGCCATCAAGATTATTACGCACTGTGTTTTTGATAAGAGAAACAGAAACAAATCAAGATTTGCTAGACCTTATTGTCCCAACTATTGATGACGCAAGAGAAGTTGAGTTAAATACTCAAGAAGTGTGTTGTCTGTTTGGCAAAAATTATATCAATGTCAAAATTTATATTTAAAATACAATGAAGGATTTAAAGTTTAAACAACTCTTTATCAGACTAGGAGATAGTATACTTTGCAAAACAAAAACTACTGAATGGACAGATATTAGGAGAGTTATTGAAGGATTTCCGATTGATTGATCATCAGAAAAAACTTGGATGCTGTACAAAAAGCTAGTTGAGAAGGATGGTATCATTCCTACTAAAATTGGAGATTTTGACACACGAAAAGGACTGACGAAAAAACCACAAACCAAATCTGATCAAAAAAGCATATGTATTACACATTCATATAAAAATAGCACTACCTGATTTTTAAAAATACTTTATTGGTGTCATATAGATTATAAACTTTCGCTTAAAAAAACAAGACTACTTGGTGAACCAATACGTAATACAAAAGACAGGGTTATTACTAAAATAAAAGAAAACACTGGACTGTGACATTTACAACAGAGTCTCAAGGCCATAAAAGATCTATGCTCTCTTATGTACAAAGATAGCATGTTACTTCTACATTCTCAAATCAGTATAATATTTTGTATAGTTTCTTGTAAGCGTATAATTGATTTCAGGAGTTATGCAATAATGTTACATTTAACATTATAACAAATATTATAAATTTATTAAAATTTTTTACTATTTTAACTTTTTATCGTCAAATGTTACAAGTGTTATTACTTGTGTTACAAGTTCAAACCATTAGAGCTCTTCATTTTTATAATTTTATTATACTAACATTATTTTAAATCCGAATTTGACAGAATACTTGTTTTTAAATACTAAACTTCTTATCAATAGAACAGTAAACACCAGACCTCCAAATTTTTTAAATTTTCGAATTTTCTTTTCTTTAAATATATCTAATAAACTACTTTTTTAATTGCCATCTGAAAAAAGATTTAACTATAGGAATTTATCAAAAAGTACTAATTTATCAAAAATGATCAAATATGGTAATTTGAACCTAGGCCACAAATTTAGTTTAATAATTAAAATAAAAAATTTCCTATAACAAGCTAAAAAATATCTTTTGAAAAAGTCTTCAATAAGTTTTCTAGGACTTCATAATCATTTGTTATGATCCTATTTCCAAAACTTTGCTACTTACCCACTGCGCATATGTGAACCACAAACCATTTAAGTGAAAAAGATTAGTTATTTTACTTTTGTTTATTACTTTTTTTTGAATATATTAATATTGGTGCTTTATTATTTATTCATTTCTGTGTAACATTTAATGTTATCTAAAAGTGTACAATATTTCAATATTTATGTTTCAAAAAACACCTTAAACATTAATATTGCTATACTTTAATACACACTCTCTTTTTAATAGAAGCCCTTTGAAATGTATATAATAAGCTTGTATGTGCAAATACACTTATTAGCATACTAATGGTACATCTAAAAAATACAATGCATGTAATTTTATTTGATTTTATTTTTATTAAATCTTAGTCACCTGATAAATAATTAAACAATTAGAGTAAATAAAAATATTTTTGTAAAAATATAACAGGGTGAGTAGAAAAGAGTAGAGTTAATACTAAGTAGATTTTACTAAAAGTTTTTTTATTACCCAAGTTTATAAATCAATTCATGTTTTCTACTCATGCTTTTTTAGGAGGACTTTACAATTAAGAGGACTCTTTAATTCCTCGTCAAAAAAGAAAACATGTTATTTTTATGAACTAAATTTATGAACGATTTTTATTCATTATTTTTAATTCGTTCACATTAGTTGTTATTTCATGAATTATTTTTGTTTAAAATAGAGATAAGTTGAAACTTATCTCTACAGTTTGAGCCCCTAGTCCACTAGCTTGGCTACAATATTGAATAAAGATTTAGGGTTTAAAAATGAAATAAGAGTTTGTGGAAAAGTAAAGTCCTTTACTTTTTTTCTGTATAGACATAAAGTTCATAAACTATTTTGAAGCTCCAAGACCCAAAGTACAGATAAAATGTTATGAGTAAACATTAGCGTCATTTTTCTGACTTTTGATTTATTATTATTTTATTTTTTTTGGGACACTCCTGTTGTAAATTGATGTTTTAAGTTTATGAAAATTGAATTATTTTAAGTTTTTTCAAAAGCTGAAAAAACAATTTCTTGACATTTTCTTATAGTTTTTGGCAGCATATTGCTAGAAAAAAGATTTAACATGTTTTTTATTTAATTTTTTTAAATCAGAGTTTTGAATCAGATTGAAATGAGATTGTTGAAAGATTTCGAAAATGCAATCTGTTTCATTTACATTTTTTTAACTTTTTATACTATAGAATAGATATAAGACAAAGAACAGGAGTTTATCACATCACAAAATTAAGCTTACTAACCTTACTTACTACCTTCTTAAATAAATACAAAAATTTATTAAGACTTCAATTGTTTAAGGTTTTTTCAGTTTAATTGTGTTGAGATATTTCTTAATTATTAAATCGGAATAGTTACTATAACTTTATATTTAATAACAATCAAAATATGTATACCTTAACAATACAATATAATATATAGTATATGACTATATACTTAATTTAAAATAAAAAATATATATATGTACCTTAACTTTATCTTTAATAACATCAAAAGCTTGAACAGATTGACAACTAAATTGCACATCACCTTTTGAATCACCACATGTCGCTAAAATTAATTGCTTGACAACAAATGCACCAGGAGAAAAAATACTTTTTGTCAAATTTTGCAAACTTTTAAACTTCTCAGTTTTACTTGATAGCATTTCAAATATTTTACCAAGTGATAGCTTCTCGAGACATGTTTTGTCAGGTATTAATGTCCAAAGACAACCATTTTTTGTATTTTTAATGGTGCATCCAAAAACTTCATAAGAGGTACCACCATCAGGAGAACTTTTTCCAAACAGTGCAGCAAAGCTAGGTAAACCATCTGTAATGGAAATAAAACTTTGAACAAGGCTTTAATAAAATAAATTTATATTAAAAAAATTTTCTTTTTTTTTAACAAAACAACTCCTCCAAAAACTCTAGGGACCACTATAATCAAAAGTTTTATTTTTATTTTCCTTAAGTACATTTTACTATTAGTAACATAATATATGCATATATGCATGTAACACTTTTTTTTTTTTTTTTTTTTTTTTTAACATCTTCACTTCCAACAAGGCTGCAAGCAACCACTATAAGAGTTGGAAGTTACTGGAAGAGAAAAGACTAAATCTGTAGAGCAAGATAACGATTGACTGATGACTTAAAAGATTGCAAATTATATGAATCAGGAAAGCAAGATGAAGGAAGCGAGTTCCAAAGAACTGATGTTCGAGGAAAAAAACTAGAAGAATGAGAGTTTTTGAAGCACTTAGGAACAGTCACAGAAAAAGGATGAGACTTAATTGAATGGCGAGTAACACGAGAATGAATTTTAGTAGATGGCACAAGGGACGCTAGCTCTTTAGAGCAGTGCCCATTGAAGTATTTGTAGAAAAGAGAAAGAGAAGCAACATTACGACGATGTGACAAAGGTTGGAGATTGGCTGCCAGAGCAGGTCCAACTATGTTTACAATTCGTTTTTGCACCTTGTCTAAAAGAGAAAGAGCATCATTAGAAGATCCGCCCCAGATGTGGCAACAGTATTCCATACAGGGACGGATTTGAGATTTATAGAGATAGAGAATAGAATCTGGAGTAAGAAAGTGTCGAGCTCGATAAAGAGATGCAACCTTAGCAGATGCTAATTTTGCAATGGATTTGATTTACGGTTTAAAAGAAAGATCAGAAGTAAGAGTTAATCCTAGAAGATGAATGGTAGATGACTCATCTAGTACATTACCATTCATAAATATAGGAAGATCTAAATTATTACGATAACGATTGGCCGAATTAAATTGAGTTTTATCTGAATTAAAGTTCACCAGCCACTGTGAGCCCCATGCTGTAGCAGAAGTGAGATCCTTTTCAAGCTCAGATACCCCCTCCAAGCAATCAGAGAGTGTAGGCTTCTTATCATGACAAGAGTAAATGGTAGTGTCGTCAGCGAATAATGCCACCTTAGATGTGAGAATATCTGGAAGATCGTTAATGTAAATTAAAAAGAGTATAGGGCCAAGGATTGAACCTTGAGGAACCCCTGAAGTTACAGGATGTGAAGAAGAGTGTTGTCCATCGAGGACAACTTTTATACTACGATTGGAAAGAAAGGACTCAATAATCTTAAAGACGTTACCAGCTACACCATAAGAAGAAAGCTTATGGAGAAGACCAGCATGCCAAACTTTATCAAAAGCTTTAGAAATGTCAAGTGCGATAGCCTTAACCTCTCCACCTTTATCTAATGCACGGTAAAACCTATCGGTTATTACTGTTAGCACATCAGCAAAACTACAACAGGAATGTTGTCAGGACCACAAGCTGTTGAAGAGTCTAAGCAGGAAATTACTTTAGATACAGAAGCTGAAGTGATGCGAATGTCAAGCAAGGGATCAACCTGTTTGACGGCTATGTCAGGTAAAACGCAACTAGTGGAATCAAGAGATGATATTGATGAAAAGTTCTTAGCAAACAATTCAGCTTTGTCTTTAGGTGAGGTGACAAAGTCTGAACCATACAAGAGAGAAGGAATAACAGATTTGCCCTTATTATTGATACTGTTAAAGATTCTCCAGAAGTCTCGAGAGCCTAATTTTTGTGATGAGATACGAGATTTAATGACCTGGGAATAGCGAGTTTTGGCGTCAGACAAAACCTTTTTACAATGGTTTCTGGCGATAGTGAACAGATGTCTGTTTTCTGGAGAATTGTTTTGCTGATAGATATGGAAGTAACGGTTTCGATTAGAAATTGCTGCAGCGCAATGTGAGGAAAACCAAGGAGAAGAGTGAGGCTTAAACTGGAATCGTCGAGAGGGAATAAAAGATTCCATGCCAGCCTGAATCCACAAAGTTATGTAAGAAGCACATTTGTCAGCAGGAAGACGAAAGATTTCTACCCAAGGGCCATCACGAAGAAAATCACGGAAAGAGTCCCAGTCAGCTTTAAGGTAGTTGTATGTGGTACGATGATAGGGGGATTCTGATGAAGTAGAAGAATTTGATAATAGTTTTAGAGAGATCAAACCGTGATCAGAAGTACCTAAGGGTGAATGTGGAGAAATTGAGGACTGACTAGGATCCAAAACAAGACATAAGTCGAGTAGAGAATGTAAATGATTAGGGTTGTCTGGAAAACGAGTTGGAAAGTTGACTATTTGAGTTAGAGATTGAGAAAGGCAAAAGTTGAGGGCCTTATCGCCAGCAGAGTCACTGACACTAGAGCCAAGCCAATCGGTGTGATGGGCATTAAAGTCACCAACAACAACGATATTGGCCGATGGATAAAGAGAGAGGGCTTGGTCAATTTGATCAGAAATAACATCAAGAATAGTGCAATCTTGGGATGAAGGAGAGCGATATAGAACAAAGAGAAAGGCGATAGAGTGAAGTTGTGCTAAACGAAAGCACATAAATGAATAGTCTGTAGATTCAAACCTAGTTTCACGACAAATGGGTGAGTTCTTACGAATGTAGATGCCCAGGCCAAGCATGTGATTATTGGAGTCTTTACGAATTAAAGGAAGATAACCATCAACACTAAGATCACAAGATGGGACAGCCGAACTTAAATTAGTCTCACAAAGAGCAAGTAGGTCTGGTGAACTTTGCAAGAGATAAGACTCAACAGAAGAAAAGTTACTTCGAAGACCACGAATATTAGTAAATGATAGGTTTAGAGAACTTGGTGATGACAATGGTTTTTTGTGTTTTTTAGTTTTAGGTACTTTAGTCATTTTAAATTTATAAAGAACTTGACTCAAGTATAGATAGTACTCAGTACACTATTTAACAACTAAGCAATAGCCTCATTACTATTAATAAACCCTAAGCCGTAACAAAGGGCTCCAAATGTGGCCTCTGCAATGCACACCAAAAGTACAAACAGGGACACCATCTATGCGCAACATGGCACTGTTAGTACTCTGATATTTTTCGGCTGTTGATGGAATCTCTGAGAGCTACCACAGAGTTCGGGAAACCTGACTACCAGCCAACCTCAGAACCATAAAACTGAGTTTTAGAGCTGTACCCTCATTAGGAGATAATAGAATGAGTTGCCCAGTCATAAAAATAGAGACACAAGCAATACCCACGCATTGAGTCAAGAAGATCCAGCGTTCAACATCCTAAACTGGAAACAATGTATTAAGAATACATCTGCGCCAGCCTAATAGATGAGGAAGGGGTGCGAGGCTGGTCAACAGATAGAATCTGTTTACCCCTTAAGTCTTTGCCTAGGAGGCCTTCTACAAGACAGCAGCTGGATGCATGTAACATCTGCCCAAGATGAGTATTTTTATCGAGACACCATCTCTAGCCTTTACTCAACCAAGAGCCCCAAGGCAGGGGGTGTTTTAATTCGGAGTTAACTTCTCCTAGCCTTTGCCTAAAAAAGCGTATCCTACAAGGCAGCAGGATATGGAGCAGGTTGTACTGGGTTACATGTTACCAGTAGCAGGAAAACCTGACCTGACCTTAACTTGTAACATATTTTTACATGCATATTATGCATGTAAAAAACATCACAAAAGTATCTTAAAAAATAAAGAGTTATATAAAAAAACATCTGTTTATTTAAAAATAACTCATATACTAAGTTCCAGTTAAACATCCAGTTAAAAACTTTCATTTACAGTTCAAACTTTTTGAACAAAAAAATGTTATCAGAAAAGTGTTTATTTGTTTAATATTATATTAATTATAGTAATAAAAAAACATTTTATATTAATAAATATATTGATGAAAAAGCAATTATATAAATGACAAAACAACATATCACTTTTATAGCTTTAAAAAAGTCTGTTTATTCATGTAATGTTTCATAATTTTAAGGATTTTTTTTTAGGCTAATATAAGAGAAGTTTCGAAAAAGTAGATCTAAATATATAAACGAAGAAAAACTAGTTCTAATATTCTTTAAAAAAATTTAATCCAACTTCAAGATCTTCAAGAATGAAACTTCAAGATTGATTCAATGTTCAATTAAAAGTTTGAGTTATTGATCTATATCTAATTCAATTAGAACTATAAAGAATTTTCAATATAGGAATGAAAGTGCTCATTTAAAAACAGAAAGGGTAACTGAGAAATTCAAGCAAAAAAATGTTTTTGATAGTTTTAATAATGTTATGTAGATTAACTTTTAGAAAAATTAAAAATCTATTGCCTTATACCTTTTCTTGTTTTAATTTTTCTTACAAAAATATGACATAAAAATATTTGATTTTGGAATAGTAGTATAAATATCAACAAAAAATAAATATTTGTACGTATGTAATTTTTTACATATATTGGATCATAATGGGCCAAGCTGCCTGTGTAACGCAGAGAAACTCTAAATTTCTCGATAGTACTAGAAACTATAAATTTCTAGATAGTTTCTGTGTAAACGCAGAGAAACTATAAATTTCTAGATAGTTCACAAGAATTTGAATCTGAAAAGTTGGGTATAAAATCACGGAGGAAAGAAAGATCTCAAAGAAAAAAGCACCAGATCAATGTTCTATGTCATTTTATAAAAATGTCATCTGATGATGTTACAATATGGTGATAAACAATTATACTCAGTTCATCTAAAATAAATATCCAATACATAACCAAACAATTGACCCTAAATATGAGGTAAAAACCATGAGTTCAAACTATTAGGACTGTAACTGATATAAAAAAAAATAGGTTGTCTTGAATAATTTAGTTAGAGTTATCACAACGAATCAGATTGTGATCCTAATACAAAACATTTTCAATTGTGCTTAAATTTATTACTTATAAAACATTTTTATATTAATCAAACTAGGACAAATAGACTTGAGGACAAAGAAAGCCTGTAAAAAATATATTAGAAATTCAAAAAATAAAATAAATAAAAAAAAAAACCTCTACAAATTAGTATGATTACTTCCAAATATATATTTTCCAGAATGCTTTGTTTGACTTCTAGTTTATTTGTCTTTGTTTGATAAACATGAAAATGTTTTATAAGTAATAAATACTTGTGGTCTTTACTATTTATCTAATAACATCATCAGAAAAAATGCTTAGCTTCAAAAAATTTTAAAAGGTCGAATTAAAAATGCCTTTTTCTTTTGAAGTTATAAATAAAAATAATTATAAATATAAAAAATTATTATTATTATAATTATAAAAATTCAAAACTACTCTTATTGGTGCATATTTAAAACTACTCTTATTGGTGCATATTTAAAACTACTCTTATTGGTGCATATTTAAAACTACTCTTATTGGTGCATATTCAAGACTACTTTTATTGGTGAATATTTAAAACTACTCTTATTGGTGCATATTTAAAACTACTCTTATTGGTGCATATTTAAGACTACTTTTATTGGTGCATATTTAAAACTACTCTTATTGGTGCATATTTAAAAGATTTTACTTTTATTTTTTTTAATATACTTAAAAAAAAAAAACACTACTACTAAAATGTACAACTATTTTTTAATGTTTCTTTATTTGTAATTATTTATGTTTTGTATTTTATTAAATTAAAGTTTTTGTCTTGAATTTATTTTATAAGTTTGATAAATGAACCAAAACAAAGTTTTGGATCATTAAAACCAGATTAAAATTTTAAACACTTTTAAAAATGCTTTTATGCTAAATGATGATTTTTAAATGATGCCAGAACCTGTATTAATAATAAATGCAAAGACAATCATTAAGGATTATTAAGACACATAATTAAAAAAAAACGAACTACAAAGTACTTTTCAACAATTATTAAAATAAAGAACAATAATTTGTAATAATAAATATTTACAAATAAAGAAATAAAAAAGAGAAAAAGTGATAATTATTTTTAAAACACTATAAATTATTTAATATATTATTAAGAAATATGACCCCATTGATTTCATAAAACTTTTTATCATTTTTTAGCAAGTAGTTTCAATCTTTAAGTAATCCGTAAGTCTACTCTTAATATTCAATTAATTTTTGTTTCTGGGTTTAAGTTTTTTCATGCCAATTACTGTTTAAAACAATCTTTGAAATGTTTAAAAACAATGTTAGATTTATCAACGACCATTTATGATGAATTCATGTTATTATCCTCACAACTTACCCCTTACTGGAAATAAATTACAAGTAGAAACAACACATTCTCAAAAATATTATGATTTGATTTATATAGATTTTAATAATATGGAATAATATATTTGAATACTCCTTTGTAAGTGGTACAAATATTTTTTCAGCAAGTAAACCACTTGAATTTTATATTGAAAACTTCAAAATTAAATTAATCGCATATAAACACAAAAAATCACATAAAAAAATCTGAAATAATAAGTTTTAAACAACATGAGACTGACAACATAAAACTATAAAAAGCAAATTCACTTAAACCTATAAAGTAATAAATATAAAAATAGGACATATCAAAATTACCTTCTACTTGAAGATTGGGAACATCTCTTTTATGAAGTAGTGATGCATAATAGTGATGATGACGTGGTTCCAAGTCATAATGATTAGATTCACATTGACATAACACTAGTATAATTATAAGACCAAAGAAAAGCATCCCAACCTAAAAAATATCATAACACGAAAAAATATAGAACATAATAATTAATAAAATAACATATATGACATATTTATAAATTATATTTTGGAAAATGTAGAAATGTTTAAATTTCCTAAAGTTAAAAATTATAACTTCAAAACTGATAAAACATTTTTCAGACAAATAATTTTTTAATTTGCTTAAATAATGTATTTAAAGTAAATTAAAATAAAGAGTATAAAATTACACAATATATAATATACTTTCACATAACATGCCAGATGCCTATGGGCAACAATATTTTAGAGTGACAATATAACCATGAAAGAGGTCTTCAGGTATCAATTTTTCAGAAATATTGTAAAAATAATCACACAAAAAATATAGAAATTGAACCTAAACTACTCAAATATATTTATGATGTATTTTATTTTTTGATTAAAGAGAAAAAAAACTTTCTCTTTTCCTTACACTAAATTGCATTGATAAATTCAAAAAGTATTTTTACATTTAAACATCACCAGTAAAATTAAAAACAAATTCATTATCAATGTTTTTGATATTGGAATTAAGTTTCTTTTGAAACTCTTGCAAAATTTTATAGAATCTTTTAGATTGCTTGCAGTGGCTTGTGAACTTTAAGCTTGCAGTGGCTTGTGAACTTTAACTCCAACAAAACATAATTATTTACTGCAAACAGCTATAGCAATAATGTTGACATTCCTATATTGATTAGTGGCAACCTTTAAATGAAGAGACAACCCTCTCAATGAATAATTATCTTTAAGTCATTTAGGAGGTTTATTACTGGCCTCTCACAGAATCCATAAATACAAATGATTGCTTAGTATCTGCTAAGGTTGCTTCTCTCTATTGTACTTACCATTTACTCCATCTTACTCTTGATTACTTCCATTTTCTACCTCTGCATATCTCTTATTTGTACCTGCATGGTAAACTGTTATATATAGGGCTAGTTTTTTTAACAAAGCTCTTTTTCCAAACAAGGACAAGGTCCAAAAACGCCAAATGCAACAAGTCTCTCTCCAATTGTCATTAGGTTTAATAAATTAATTAAATAACTAGAAGAGTTTTTTTTTTTTTTTTTAGAACCATTTGGAACACTTTCCCATATTAATGTTTTCCTGACTCATAAAATCTCTAACTTTTCAAGTCTTCTGTTAACTATCTACTTGCTTTTTAACTCTGTACTTTTTTTATTAGTATCTGACAACTTAGTAGCGATTGCTTGTAGCTTTGTTGGGAATGAAACAGACTTTTAAAAAAAGTCTCAATCCATTGTACAATTGTACAATGATTAACCAGAAGTCAAGCTTCCATCTGAAATCTTGAAAGTTGAGCTTCAATCAGAAGCTCAACTCATTATGTTTATAAAATAAATAACCATGAAATTGCTAATTTTAAAAGTAATAAAGATTCTGTTAGTACTATTGATAATCACTAATAATTTAATTATTATAACCTTTTTATTGCATATAAGGCTATGTTGCCTCAACATAGAGCTTTATGGGAAATATATAAATAATTAATAAATAATTCTAGTTTTAAGTCAAAGAGTTATTTTGTCATCTCATTTTATCAATATTTTAGCGGTTGGTTTTTCAAAACTTTTAAAACATTTGGCCGTCAAAAGCACAACTTTCTTTTTAGAATATTTTAAATACGTTTTATTGTTATACTAGAAACAGTACATTTTTTTTTAAAGATTTGTCAATTTGAATTTGACAAATCGAAAAGATACTATTTTAAATATTATGAAAACATAAATAAAATCTGCTATCTTGTTCAGAAATTATTTCAATTTTAAAAACAGCATCGATTTATGTTTTAAAAACCAATTGGAATAAAATTCACACGTGTGGATTTGAGTTGTTTATTTCGTAACGGTAACCGGATCAAATTATATGAAGAGTCACAAGGTAACAAGTATTGCGGACGGGTAAAATCCTTAGTAACGGTAACAAAAAACACGGTCGCTTTTACTATAAACAAACCGTAGTTAAATCATATTGTGATCTTAAATCATACTGTGATCTAATTTATATTTAGTAACTTTGCTTTGGCAATCGCTATATAATTAGAAAAGAAGTTCAAAAAAAATTTGCTTTTACTCCGTTTAAAATTCTTCTGTGATAAGTTTACAATAACTACTTCAATTTTTTTTTTTTTTTTGAGTTTCAGATGTATTTTTTTTTTCCAATTACTTTTAAATATGTAAAAATCAAACAAATTTCTAGTTTTTGAAGACAGCATTGATTTAAATGCTTATATGTTGTTTGCATATATTTGTATTTTTATAGTTTTTAATTAATGACATTGTTTAATTTAATATTGAAGAAATATGATTAACATATGGTTAAAAGAACTATGTAAAATAAAGTTGTTCTCATACCTACTTGCAATGGGGTGACTTGATACAGGAATTTTGGGGTGAAACGGGACAGTGTCACATTAAAAAAACAATGCCTTTAACTTAATTTAATAGTAAGGTAATGGGTTTTGCAATAGTTTTCTAAGATAATTTAGTGGATCATAATTTATTCCGATTTCTATGGTGTGTGTGGTAAATATAAAGCGCAAAACACAAACAAACAATTTTGTCTCATCTCACCCCAATCTCCCCTAACACCTTATTTTCAGGCATTATAGATAGTTGAAATTTACTGTTTTTATATAAATTAATTAATTTATAAGAAAAATACATTGTATTAAAACTCTGCAATGTTAACCTTTACAACTTAGTGAAGAACATGCAAGATGTGAGACGTAATTATTTACTTAAAACTAAAACTTCAAATTAAGAAGTTGATGAAAGTTAAGAGAAAATTAATGCCTGATTTACACTTTATCATTTCTAAAAAAATTTTATACTGTTTCAAATTTTAGCCCTCAATTCTATATGAAATCAAAGTTCTATGTTAAATGATCTTTCGTTTTGCTCTCTGACAAATCCAATAGGTCTTTTTGTTACACTTTAATATCAGGATATTAAATACTTTGTTCATTTTATTAACAATATAAGTTTTAACTTGAGTGTTTTAAATGTGTTTTACAATTTAAGACTCTCACAAAGTTTAATATTATATTATAAATTAATGTAATTAAGGAAATATTTTTGTATAAAAAAAAAATTAAGGGTTTCCAAATTTTCATTACAAGCATCCAAGTAATGCTAAGTATCTTTGAGTATTCCCTTGTGAATTGCCAAAATCATCCCTAAACTGGTATACTAAAGTCACGCATAAAAACAATGTATTTGTTAGAATTTAAATGCCAAATACTTCTATTTATTTCATATTTTTTATTGTTAATGAGGTTCAAAGTTTTTTTAAGAATTAATCTAAAATAATTGAAAAGTTTTTTTTGTCCAAACTTCTTTCATTACTCTGTTATATCTCCGAACGCCTTTCACTACTCTACTTTATCTCAGTAATATCTCTGAACATCTTCTACTGCTTTGTTATATTTACTATAGTTTTCTAATTTAAAAATGTTATAGCTTAAACACTTACCTTTTAATTTTTTCAACCAATTTTAATTAATTAACGTTTTTTGATTTGAAACAAATCATCTGCACCGTAACTTTGATGAGAAATACTGTTATACATTCTCAATATGTTCATTGTGTTTTCTTCAAATATTCATTGAGTAAACAACAGCTCTCAAACAGCGAAGTGAAGGCTTAAACGTATTTTGCTTCAATGGTCAAAATTTCTTTAAATTGATATTTTTTCTAAAATATGGGAAAACGTTTTTTTAAGTTGCTTATTTTAATAGCATCAGCATGAAAAATGTTATATATAATTAATTTCATTGGTTTTTACCGTTACATATATATTGCATATAATTGACTTTTAATTGGTTTATGTTTATTATTTTTCGAATCTCTTCAACAATCTAATTTAAAAATCTTATTAGAAATAAATTGTCATCAAATATAATATCACTTACTACACTGAGAATAAAAAAAACAATAAAAAAGTATGAAGATTCAAAAAGAGGCTAGGGTAAAGCCGTTCTAGCTTTTTTTATAAAATAATGATTAATTTGACGCAGTCAAATATTCTTACACAATTTAAAAATAATAATAATAGCAGGAACAAAGTGTAGATCGGTGTCCCCAAACAACCATTTTATAGATATACTTTCTGAGAGAAATATTTTTGGTAATATATGACACTCATTATGTCGTCGGGTGTTTCGGTGCGGAAACTTATTTTTAAAATGAACAACATTTGTGACTTTCTTAACCAGAATTAAAATGTTCATTACTTCCTACTACATGCCTAAAAGTTTTTTTTTGTCACGACGTTGATATATATGTTTTTATAACATATATGAAAGTTTTAAACAATTTAACAGCCGTTGCGCAAACCGTTATTTATCAGCCGTTCGAATATTAGTACCTTCCAGTAAGCACAGATCATTTTTAAAACGTTTAAAAAACGTTAAAAACCGTTTTCATAGGTTTTTTAAACGTTTTAAAAACGTTCTGTGCTTACTGGGCTATCTAGTACTATTTAAATTAAATAATTTTTAGAATACCATTTGTTTTCAAAATGCATGGGTTTTTTAAAGGCGTATGTTATATTAGGAAACTGTGTGTTCCAAATTATTTAACAATTGTGCTGAGAAAGATCACAAGACAGAGAAAAAGTTAAACCTGATATCGCACGTGCAATAGAGTTACTTGTACGCTGTAGTTTTTATGAAAAAATTGGCGGCTACCATGATTCATATAGAAAAGATTTGACAAACTTTTTAAAGCAAAAAAAAACAACAATAAATTAAAAAAAAAAAATGCTAACCATTTTATCTTTGCAAAAAGAAAAAATCTTTGTATAGCATTTTATTTCAAATTTTTAGTTTCTTTTTATACCAAGTTTAATAATAAGTTAACAGTAATTTAAAATAAATCATAAAGTGGGTTTTCAGTTATTTGAAAATTTGGTAATTCAAAGTAAATTCTAGAGTCTCCTCTATAGAGTTTGTGGTTATATACTTAATTAGAGTAGTACTTATCTTTAAATTTTTACTTCAAGTACAGATATTAATTTTTGGTTACTTTGGCCTATATCAGGCTAGGGAAAGTAAATTTATTGCATATTCTCGCTGTTACCTTATTAAAGTCTTTGTTAATCAAAACATTTTTTTGTATGGCCTACTATAATTAAATGGCCTACTATAATTACACGGCTTGATTTGTTGCATTTTTCGTTAAAAAATAAGAGGCCAGTTTTTTTACGACTTATTTTCTATTGTGAGACAATTAACAATACTTAATAATTAAAATAATGTGATTATTAAAATTATTATATCAAAGTTTGGTTTATGCTTTCATATTCATGTAATATATATTTCTGATTATATTCTGACTGATTGTCTGCTTTATTATAATCCATTAGAGAGTGGAATAATAAAATAGACATACAGAAAGTCTACTTGGTATATTCCCAGCAAATATATCAGCGTTTAATCAACGTTGAAAACCAGTCGCAACGCAGAAAAAGCGTACAATCACAAAAACAACGTGCTTTCAACGTTGAATTAATGTTTTTTTTTGTATACTAAATCGCGGTAAATTAAAACGTTAAATAAGGGTTGAAATTGTAACGTAATTTCCCGTTGGGAAATGAGCTAGTGATGATTAGCTAGCTTTATAGCGATTTTGTAGTGATTTTTTTTTTCTTATTGTTTTTTTTTCCTAATGTCTTTAACATCTTTAAAAATTCGATTTTTAGTGTTGACTCTATTATAATTATGAAAATAATTAAACTTTAAACTTGGCAATTTTGTAGCAATGTGTCGCTAGCTACATATCGTAGCTTTGTAGCTAGCTACAAAATATCTACAAAGCTATAGTAGGTTGGTAGCTGCATATTAAAATTTTTTAGACTGCGATTTTATTACGATATGACGCTAGCTACAAAAGCCTGTGGGTCTTAAGCTTATTAAGCTAACTGTCTTCGTAGCCAAATTGCTGTCTTTGTCTTTACAAATATCGATAGCTTTTCGCTAACTTAAAAAAGCTGCCGATCCTCGTGGCCAAATCGCTGTCTTTATTGTTACGATTACAGCTAGCTATTCGCTAGCCGATTTCCCACCGGGTTAGCTCCTCAAAATAAAACGTTTATTCAACGTGGAATCAACTTACGCAAAAAGCCACTTTAAAAACGTTTTAAAGCATATGCTTTATTAACGTTGAAAACGAACCGCTTTTTAAACGTTACATTTTCAACTTTAAATAAGCGTTTAAATTTAAAATTATCTTATCTTCTCAAAAAGTTGCGTTTATTCAACATTGAATAAAAGTACACAAATAATCACTGCAAAAACGTCGCAAAGTTAATGGTTTATCAACGTTAGAATTTGCCATAATGGAAAGGCTAGGAAAACCTAATAGAATGCATGCATATGGTTTAAAAAATATATTAATAAAGTTATATGTTATAATCTATTTTTTTTGCAAATAATTTAAAACTTTAAGATTTTATATCAAATTGTATACAATATACAAAAATCTCAGGGTAAATTCGATTTATTCAGGTTATTTTTTATCGATTTTATATTTATTTTAAGCTGACCATTTTAATAAAATGTTCAACTTTTTTAAATATGTTATTTCTTAGTTAGAAATAATACTTAGTTGTAATAACATTCAGATGTGTAAAATATTATCAAAATTAATAAAACGTAATAAGTCAGACTAAATCAAGTTTGTTAACAGACTAAATTCTTAATTTATTTTAAAAACTTTGAACACCTCACCCTAATTATCAAGTAAATACTTCAGTATTGAGTCTTCCACCAATAATTAAAGTATGCATTATTATTTTTTTTTTGTATAAAAACATGTTTGGATAAGTAACTTTATTTCCATTTTTTTAAAGAACTTTTAATTTTATCAGTGAAAATATCTAGTCCTAATTATAGACATTGGCGGATAAAGACTTCTTGGGGCCCGGGGCTATTTTTATTTTTGGAGGCCTTTTTATGGGCCAGAGCCTAAAAATGACTTAAAAAATAAAAGGGCCTCTAAAATTTTTGGGGCCCCTAAATTTGCAGCGCCCGGGGCTATAATCCCCATATACCCCCCGCCTTCCTAGATCCGGCACTGGTAATAGAGCTGATGTTGTATAATAAATTCTAAAATTTATTCTTTATCATATATTTTTATTGATTTATATTTTTATTTATTTTAATAATATATATTTAGGCATTTATAAATGGGTAAGTTTATGAATATATATAATAGAACATATATATATATATATATATATATATATATATATATATATATATATATATATATATATATATATATATATATATATATATATATATATATATATGTATAAATATAATATATATATATGTATATATATGTATATGTATATATGTATATATATATATATATATATATATATATATATATATATATATATATATATATATATATATATATATATATATACATATATATATATATATATATATATATATATATATATATATATATATATATATATATATATATATATATATATATATATATATATATATATATATATATGTATAAATATAATATATATATATGTATATATATGTATATGTATATATGTATATATATATATATATATATATATATATATATATATATATATGTGTGTGTATATATATATATATATATATATATATATATATATATATATATATATATATATATATATATATATATATATATATATATATATATATATATATATATATATATATATATATATATATATATGTATTATATATATATATATATATATATATATATATATATATATATATATATATATATATATATATATATATGTGTGTGTGTAGGTGTGTGTGTGTGTGTGTGTGTGTGTGTGTGTGTGTGTGTGTGTGTGTGTGTGTGTATATGAGAGAGGCATATTCTGTGTGTATAATAAATGTTTTTTTTTTTTTTAAATTTCAAGTTATCGTCATGTCTAGTCATTTTTATTTAAAAGTATATAAATTAGCAAGATGGTTTAGAAATTTTATTAAGGAATTATTGCCAAGATTAAAGAGTTTAATATTTATTAAGAATTTATTGTTTTTATAGTTTAAAGTTTATTAATTGTTTTATTAAGAGTTCGTATGAGAGTTTTATTAAGTATCTGTATACAGACCTATAAAGTCTCTTCCATTTGGCTGGAGTTTTCTTAATTTTAAAGGGAAATTTATTTTCAACTGGCATTTAAAAATAATTTTAAAAAAATACTTTTATAAAGTCTTTCTTTTCTTCATTAGTAACTTAAAATACAGCAAGCTTTCAAGTTTTTAAGTTGTTTTTATTTTATAAGTTAAGAAAAATGGTCAAAGATTGTTAAAAATTGCTCTACACACATAAATATATAAAAGTATATCTATACAAAGTAAATTTCAGCTCAATCAGTGGCCAAATTTGGACACTTTTAACTTAGTTGTCAGAGTAATAAATCATTAAAAAACTTTTTTAGTCGATAGAGGTATACATAACACCCAGCAACACAAGTCCAAACACACCGGAAGACATATTCCTTACACAAGACGTGTTCCG